TCACTTTGTGAAGACCATAGAAGTATATAATTATGTATCAATAAACATTAATATTTATTAAATCATTATATGTTATTTCATAATTGTAATTGTTTATTAGTATTGTTTATTATCTTAGTGATATTTTAAAAAATTTTGTATATAACATACATATTATATTTATACAAGTTTTCTGTACTAAATATTAAAATATTTTTATGATTCATTGTAATGCTGGTATGTTGTAGTATGAAAGTTATAACAATATTACGCATATAAAATTATAATATGTATTTAGGATTTTCGTGGATATAAAAATATTTTATCTGCTTAAATTAATTTTTTTTAATAACAAAAAAATATTCCATAAAATATAATATGTATTTTATAAATTTTAATTCTAATAATAATGTTTTGCATATTTTATATAATTCTTATATTTAATTCTTAAGCTTTATATCTTATATATTATGTATTATGTTCTATGTATTATGTTCCATTAATTCCCATTGTAACAATAAGCTTTTAGAAATAAAATATACAGCGTATTTATATATTGATGTATATATTATTCTATTTTTGGCATGTTTTATGATCTTTATTGCATTTTTATGACATAGCATGTATACTATTTTAAATAATCGCTTTTTTCCCCATGTACATATATGTATATGTTTTGTATACATTGCTCTTTTGCTTAAATATTTTTTGGTATATATAATTAGTTTTCATTTATTTTTATTGAATTTTTTAATCTTTATCTTTAACTTTCATTTATTAAATTAAAATAAATTATATTATAATTATATATTAAAGCTATATATGATCTAATTAATGTAATGTTTATTTTAAGTATTTAAAATTTAAATTTAATAATTAAATATATGTAAATGTATTTAAATTAAATTTGTAAATTTGAATAGTAATATAAAAAGCATTTATCCATTTAATTAAACTATGCAATATTAATTTAATAATATTTTATAATTTAAAAATAAAAAAAATAATTCATAAAATATTCGTAAAAAATTTTTAAAAATATTTTGAATGTTTGCTAAAATACATTATTTAAAGAGTTAATATACCAATTAGTATAAGTCATTTTCTGAAAATCTTTTTATTATTTAAATTTTCAATTGATAAATTAATCAAATAATATTCTAAATATTTCAGTATTTTAATAATAACTTTAATTAATTTAATAATTGAAAATTTAAATAAGGAGAATATGACTTACACTCTTTAATTTTTGAACTCTCCATTTATCTTCTAAATATCTATTTAAATATTATTATATATAAAAATTTGAAGTTATCTAAATCTCAAAAACAAAATTTCAGATTTTAAAATAATAAAAAACTTTTCTCTTCTACTTTTCTCTTCTACTTTTCTTTTTTATTTATATTTGTATAATTTTTAAAAATTTTCATAAAGAGCATTTTTACGAATGCTTTAATCTATTTATCTATTACTTATAAACAATCTCATTTCATAATTCAGATCACTTTATAATATGAATTTATCTTTAAATTTATACCTGGTCATTTGTGAACACTACTGTATATTTGCTTATTATGTATTATATGTATATATGTGTGGGCAATATTGATTGGGTAAGCTGATAATTGGTAAGTGGGTTTGTGATAAGCTTTCTTTTTTGCATGTTGTGAACTGATTTTTATTGTTTCAAAACTTAATATCATTTAACAGCTGACAAAAGCTTTTTTTATCAAATTAAAATAGGAAAAACCATTGTACTTATATTATCATAAAAAATTTTATTTTATACTTTCTATACAAATTTTTTGTTCAATTTGTCATTTTAAATTAAAAAATAAATGGAAAATATACAAGTCGGTTCATTTTAGTTTTTATTATTTTATATATGAAAAATGTTTTATTTAATAGATTAAAATTTGAAAAGATGAAAATTTATTTTGATAAGAAGATATATTAAAACGAAATAAGAATATACGATTACGTATTTTGAAGAGATTTTTAATATATTTCATTTTCGAAGTTTTTAATTAATTTATATTCATTTGTATATGTTACATTTAAATTCTTTGTTTTTCTTTCTTACATTGCAAAAATTTTATTAATTCTACTAATTTCTATATTTATTTCTTTTAATTTTGTTTATTTAATTATACTTATATACATATATATTTTTATATAATAAATTTAAACAAAAATGAGTTGACTTGTATAATTTTAAGATATTATACACTATATACATATATATACATATGCAATATGTATATAATGTATATCTTTCAACAAAATAATTAAATTAAATTTATACATGATTTTTGAAGAACAAATAAAAATACTGTATTTAATTAAACAGTACGCAATCTAATATTATTTAAATAGTAAAAGTAAAAAGTAGATAATAACTATAACTGAAATAATCTTCAAATAATCTATTAAGTAGAAATTGCCATATACTTCAAATATTTTTTTCTTTCTTTCTCCTTATCTTTTTTTCATATATATATATATATATATATATATATATACTCTACGACCTGGTTAATTCAATACCGAATAAATTCAAGCAATCTTAATATGAATTTTCAATGAATTCAATGAAATATAAATTTATTTAATTTTCACTAATAAACTTTTAATATTTTATGATTTTTCTTATAAAAGTATAATTATGTTATGATTTTGAATGAAATAATAGTGTATATATCATTATTTTTCAATGATATTCTTGATAGAGATACATTCCAAAGTAATAATAAATTTTGATAAAATTTTCTATTATTATAATATATTATAATATACTATTATATTATATATATATA